GAGGGGGAGGGTGGGGGCGGGTTCCCGACGCTGGGAGAGAAAGGAGATAGGTACACACAAACCCGTTACCATGGTCTGCAATGAAAAAGAAGGTTATTACACTAGCCATTTGACCCATTCCTTGGGAGTGGTTGAGGGAACCCCACCAGTTGCATTTCCATGATGCCCAGTGGGCTCTGTTTATGCAATTGGCCCTTTCAACCCCAGAAATGGCTGCATCTCAGTGGCAGGGAAAACAGTTCTCATATATACAACTTTGCAACAAACAATACAAGGGAACTTTGTTCAATGACTTTGATTCTAGGGACTGAATGTTAATATAACCAGCTCCCCTGAAGCAGCAGAATTAGCCTAGAGATCTTCCTGGTGTGTGCAGCTCTTATTGCCCGTGCCTATTGTGGACCACAGTCTCCAAGGAGATGCAAACTGCTCAGTGTCTGTGCTTGTCTCTACCAGTTGCCTGTGGAGACCCTCCCGTGGTAGACAATGCCAGGACTTTTGGAAGAAAGAAGGACCGATATGAAATCAACTCCATGGTGCGATACCAGTGTAACCAGGGCTTCATACAACGCCATGTGCCCACAATTCGATGCCAGCCCAATGGCCACTGGGAGGAACCACGGATAGCCTGCATAAATCGTACGTAGTGCTTTCTCCTTTCAGTTTGCACCAAGGCCTTTGCAAACCTTTTTGAGACTCCCAGGGCTAACAGCTGCCACTGGAGAGCACCAGAAGTCCATGGCCTATTACTGAGATTCACATACAGAGAGGGTGTATGTGAATCTCACCCCCCCCCACACACACACACACAGAGGGAGGTGCAGGGTTGTTGCATCAGAGAGGACTCTTCCCTTATTTTCCCTGTGTTTTGTCTCCATTAAAGGAATATCAGATCTGATATCTCCCAGATGGGCCTGGACCACAGGGACCAGATGGAGACATAGCCTTGGCTCGTCTGAGTTAGTGCACACACCAGTCACCTGCAAGCCCCCCTGTTGAGCTGGCTCCTCCATGGAGAACGTCCTGGTTCTGATGGGCAATGAGGGGGGAGCCCAAGTTGGGGGAGAGAGAAAGCAGTTAAAAGAGATCTACATGGGCCCAAAAAGCAGGAGAAATTTTCACTTTTAGACAGTGTCTTAAAAGGTTTGTTTTGGCCATATCTGTGCTTGGGCAGAGGCACTCAGGAAAGGCAGTGAGGAATGGAAGCAGAATGGACAGTATGCCCCTGCTCAGGCCACCCTGAGCACTCACAGAGACTCGCCTTAGGCCTGAGTCACCCTCCCTGGCTCTCTTTGGGAAGCAGAGGCAGGAAACATGAAATAGCAAGGTGACCTGGAGTCTTGGCACCCCTCTCCCTGGCTTGCCCTCTCCGCCAGGCATCTGAGCAGCAACTAACACTCCCACGGAAACAGCCCCAAGTCCTGTTGTTCAATTCGGGGTCTCAAGTGTTCAATTATTGTTCTCTTGTTGGGTCATATAGATCTTCCCCACTCATTAGTTAGCTGAAGCCTGAAGGAGCCAAGCCATCTACATCAAAAGTAATTCAGCTGCCTTGCTCAGTTTTGATCTGGTTGGGTTTCACCAGTTGTCACTGGATAGATCAATCCAAGGCTAGAGAAAGTTGCTGCCAAATTAGGAAGAAGGGGACAATATTCTCAATGAGAGAGAAAGGCCAAGAGTGGTGCATAGGGTGATGAAGTGCTCCTGCTATTAAACTGCACTGTTCAGCCCTGGACTCTCTAGATTCAGCTGTGTGCTGCATAGGCTGCAGTCTGGCCCAGGGACTGAAGAACCATGCCTGGGACTTGTTTGCACATAGGAGCAGTTGCACGGAAAGGGAAAGATCTCTCTTTGACTGGCTACTCATTCCCCACCTAATAGCAGGCAGTTGGCTCCCATTGCAAGCGGAGAGGCTGTTTCACCTGGAAGGCTCTATGCTCAGGTGGAAAAGCAGCAGCATGTGTTCCTGACCCTGTAATAAATGATGCCAGGATATGAGGCAGGCACTTCAGCAACTTTGAGGGAACACTTTTACCCCAAGTAATAAGAATGTTTTGCTATCTAGCTTCTCCCATCTGGGTATCTCAAATCACTGCACCAACATTCATTAAGCCTTTGCTCCACTGCTCTAGGAGGGAAATCAGAATTGTCCCCATCTTACAGATGGAAAGACTGAGGCACAGACAGGGAAAGGGACAGAACCCAGAGCTTCTACTACTCAGTTCTGAACTATGCTTTAAGCAAAATGTCTAGATTTATTCAGAGCTTCTGGGATGTCTGCTTCCTATGACTCATCGGACCTGAACAGTACCAGAGATGCTCTCCCAGCAGCGCCGGCCTATTGGTCTGAGCTGCTTTGGCAGGTCTTGTGCCTGTCTATTTGCAAGGAGGGGAAAAACACAGGAAGTGTCCAGTGGACAGAAGCAGAGTTGTCTCCACATAGGATGCTCTTTAACAGGCTCCCAAGAGGCACCTGGGTCTCTTTGACTTTGGTGTTTGTGGGGGGACAAGCCGTTACAAAGTGAACTGAAAAATCCCAGATGATTCATTGGGTCCTGGAGTGCCGGAGGCAAGAGAAGGACCGATTGTCTGGTGGCAGGCAGGCTGGCGCCATGGCATGCTCTGCCATGCGCTGCAACCTCGGCAGTGTTTTTCCAGGGAATGAGAGGCCTAGGGCGAGCCAGCTCAGGACAAGTGGGGTCTCTGTAGCCTTCTCCTAACAACAAGGTGTCTTTTCTTCTCCTCCCCCTTCCTCAGCCTCCACCTACCAACGTAGACTATACAAGAGAAGCTCTAGGAACCGGTCAAGAACCAATGGCAGAGCCGTACAAAGACCCACCCATTAGAGCGGGGAGAGACGCGCAGAGAAGACACAGAGAGAGATTTTACGGAACAGTTATATTAACAGAGTCAATTTCTTCTTCTTGTTGTTGCTTTTGTCATATAAGGGAAAAAATTATATTAAAGAAAAACCCACCTTTTGTGTATATATATCAAAAAAATTCAAAGCACCAAAGCAAAGCAAATTAGATTACAGCATTTTTACTAACCATCCGGTTCCAAGTATCTTTGTGCCTTTGGGGATGGGGAGGGAGCAGGGGCTATGGAGGGCAGGGGTT